GTGGCAGCGGAGCGCGGGGGGGGGGTAGGTCGGGGCCTGTGACCTCTGTTAACACCACGGAGGGAAACGTCCACTTCGGCGTTGCAGAAGCCCCGAAGGACACGCTGCCTCCAAGTCTGGTCCTGAGAGAAACGGACTCGCCGCCTCTCTAGAGAAACAGTTCCGCCAGGACCCGACGGGTCTCACCCACAGTCTGCACCACGTAGTTTGCCCCCGACACCGCCTTAAAGGGGCAGTCACTGATAGACCCTATCTCTTAAAGAGACAGGAAGGTCGGTTTGGCCGAAATTCTTGGAGAGCCAGGTGAGTATCCTGGCTGGCAGAGCTGTGCCCTCGGCGTTACGGTTCTTTTTTTTCCACCCCCTGTGGAGGCCCCGAAGCCTTGGAAACTTAGCACTTGAGTGAGAGATGTCGTGAAATGGAGGAATATAGAGTATTCCTTCGCCAAGACTCGCCGTACCCCCCCCGGGGGCGGGGCTCCCCGACTCTCCGGGAGCGGGAAACGCAGGGGGCGGGGCTTGCGGGGTTGAGGGCGGAGCCTCGGACCCAGGCGCCGACCTCCTTGGAGGGTTACGGGGTAGGAGGGGCTGGGATCGTGGACCAAACGGAGCTCCGGGGACGCCCCGAGGACCCAGTCTCCTGCGGGAGGAAACGTCCCCGTAGCTTCGAGGAAGGGACCGGGGGTGGGAATCCAGATCGCCCCCTCCCCTGTCCCCCAGATGTGTGTAAACAACCGCACGTGGACGGGGGGGGGGTTCGGGGACGCGCCCGAACCTTTTCCCACGTGGCTGCGCCCCGCGGGGCGGCGGGTGGAGCCCCGGGACGGCGGCGAGACAGGGTGACTCGACTGCATTCCTGGCCGGTGTGTCAGAGCCGCTTCTCGCAGCTTCTGCCGAGATTTCGGATCCTACTGCAGAATTGGGGTGCCCCTCCCTTTCCAGAGAGGAGGGAGGGGACCTGCCCTCCCCGAGTTCCCGTCCCCGTCGGCGGCAGCCGTCCCCGCGGGCTCCGGAGGACCCCGGCCGGAAGGTGCTGGGCGCCCGTCCCTGGTGCTGCTGGGACGGCTGTCCAGCCCAGATGTGGGGCTCTGGCTGGAATATTCTGTAGCGCTCCAACCTGGTTGGGGCTCAGAGAGCCGAGGAGAGACTGATGCAGTTCAGCACTTAGAAGGGGGTGTTTCCCCAGCTTCCAATTTTTTGGGGGGCAGGGGTGTCGTGGGTCTAGAACTCGGGGCCTGGGCACTGCCCCCTGATCTCTTTTACTCAAGACTGGTGCTCTAGCGCTTGGTCGTTAATTGAAGAGTCTCACAGACTTTTCTGCCCGGGCTGGATTTGAACCCTGATCCTCAGATCTCAGCCTCCTGAGTAGCTAGGATGACAGGCAGGAGCCACCGGCGCCCGGCTCAGCCTCCAGTTCTCTGCCCCGGTGCCCCCTCCTCCCAAGGCAATGTACTTTTGCGCAAAAGGGTGCAATGCCATTACTGTACCCAGGGCTGGGCAGGCACACGGGGGCTTTCATCCCAATCCAAACTGTCCCTCCTCTCGTCCAGGAGTTAGGCTCACTAAGTACAATTGATTACCAAGGTTAGAAAGGGTCAGCCTCCAATCTTACACCCCTTTGGTGGATGGAGCCTCACATCTTCCCTCATTAAAGGGGAAACTGAGCCTGGCGGAGAGGGGAAGGGTTCAGGTACCAGTATCCTGCAGCCCCACAAGGCGGCATCCGGCTCCTCCCGTGGGCCTCGCAGGCCGGGTCGCTCCCAGGTTCTGGGCCTCGTTCTTCCCGTCTGTGAAATGGACTTCGGGGGGAGGGTGTGTGTGTGTGTGTGTGTGTGTGTGTGAGATGTCGGTGCATGGGCGTGGCCCGCCCCCCTCTGGGACTACAAGTCCCAAGGTGCCCCGGGCCGCCCCGGGCCCCGCCCCCTGCGGGCCCGCCTCCCTCCAGCCCCGTCACGTCGTCTAACCTGTTCCCGGCGCCTGCCCCGCCCCGCTCGCGCCCCGCGCCCCGCAGCTGGAGCCCGAGCCGGAGCCGGAGGAAGCCCCCCGGTGCCAGGATTTGCTCCGGACCCGTGAGTTCCACCCTCCGGGGGTCCAGCGACCCCCCCTCCCGAGCATCCTGACACCGCGACCCTAGGGAGGAAAGGGCGGGGACGCGGACACGGGGTCCCGGGGCAGAACTTGGGCAGAGGCAGCTTGGAAACTTGATTTTCTGAGTAGAGGGAAGAGCGGGGCGGGGGGCGGGGGGGGGGGGGGGGGGAGGGGGCTCGAATGCCGGAGTTCTTGGAATGAGGGACTGGGGACCCCCCCGTACCCCGATCTCAGGGGGACGTTGGCGCTGGGATTGCAGAGGGCCTTGAGCTGGGGGGGGCTCTCGGGGGTCTGAGTTGCCTGAGTGACTTTGGGGTGTCCGATCTCCGAATCTGGGGGGAAGAGATGGTGGCGAGGCTGGAGCGGGTGGTCGTGCGCCGGCCTCCGCCTCCGCCTGGGGTGTCAGAGCCGAGGGTGGGGCGGGGACAGCAGAACTTGGGGCTTTGAGACGGAGCGGGGACACGTCCCGGGGGCCCCTCCGGAGGCTCTGCCGCCAAGTTCCCCCGCTTTCCGGCTCCGGGAGGCGGGGGGAAGGGGAGGTGAGGAACCGGGACAGCTTTCCTACCTCCCCGGTGCCACTGAGCGAACCCCAACATGTCATTAACTCGGGGCGTCAGACCTGCTTAACCAGGCGCGGGGGGGGGGGAGGCGCCCCCGCGCGCCCCCTGGCGGAGGCCCGGGGGCCTCGTGTTGCCCCCACAGGGGTGGCAAATAATCTGGGGGTGTGCAGAGGTCATTCTAGAGAGCTTAAGGCAGAATTCTAGAAAGGCAAGGTTGGGACCCTGGATGCTTGCGTGGTGGAGCACTTCTGCGTGGCACACAGAGGAGGGGGTAAACTGAGGCTGGCAGGGCCACGCAGCAGCAGCAGCAGCGTTTAAGGGCCAGGTTTCGGCCTCCTAACCGTCCGCTGGCCCGAAGGGAGATGGGAGTCATCCACTCCCACCACATCTCCCGAACCTCCCCCGTCCAGGCTCCTGGGCCTGACCCTGAGGTGAGAAATGTCACCTCCACGCCCATCTGTCTGACCTGAATTGTTGTGGGAGATAAGGGAGGGGTAGAGGCTAATTCTGGAGGTGTGTGTCTGTCCTTCAGGCTGGAGGAGGACAGGGGCAGGCCGGCCTCTCTCCCCCCGCATCCCTCCACCCCTATGCGTCATGTGTCAGGGATTAAAAAGGGAGCGGGGACCCGAGGAGATGAGACCGGGATGTTTGTGAATGTCTGGGTGTGAAGGGCATTCAGTGACAGGCTGAGATGAAATTAAAAATAATACCCGTGACTGCCAACACAGGCCATGCCAGGGATCAGGTCTGGCAGGTAGACAGGACTCCAACCCGTATCCCCAAAGACATCTCAGACTCTGCCCCCCATCCCCAGGCCGGCCTATGAGTTCTCCCTTCAATAGAGATTGCTGACCCAGGGAAGCGACTCCTCCCTACCAGCGGGAAACTGAGGCTGGCAAATAGATATCACCCACATCTTGGGCTTTTGCCAGCTTCTGTCTAGAATCTTCCATGGAGCTCCCTGCCCTGGTCTCCCAAGTTTTTGTTGTTGTTTTGGAGATGATTGATCACTGGCCAGAACGCAGAGATGAATGTGGGAAGGGAAGCTTTGGAGATCCAAGGAGCTAGTGATTTGAGATTCCCAGCATCAAAACTCATGCAGAGCTGAAAGGAGCCTTTATTTGGGTGGGGGTGGAGCAGAGGGCAAAATGACCTTGAGTGGCATACCCTCACCTTTGTGTTGTCTTAATGACCCGTGGAGGAAGGCGTGTCATTAAGAATCCTGGACGTGTGCGTTTCATGCATGTAAATTAGGTCACTCAATCCTCACACCTCTGGAGGCGAAGATACTCATTCCCCCATTGTAGTTAGGTGGAAACCGAGGTAACCAGAAACACACATAACCAGTCCAAAGCTAGAGGTTCAGCCCCGGGGCGAGGTAGTCGCCAACTCATCCCACAGCTGTCCACACAGGGTAAATAGAGTCCCAGAGAAGGTGGGGACCTCTCCCAGCCACAGAGTAACCCACAGGGCTGCGGGAATCCAACATGGGTGTTCTCCGCCTCGTCTTAGGCCTTGACCTGGTTCCTTAGGAGGAGGATGACTCCTCCAGGAAGCCCACGGGGATCCTTACCCCTCCCACCCAGATTAGGTGATATAAAAGAGGGGACCCCAAGGGGGTGGACAGAAATCAGAAGGGATCCCAGGGAAGAGGACTTGGGCTGAAGAAGCCTGGGAACCGACGCGGCCTACGCCACCCCCGATCCCCGCCCTCGCGCCCCGCCCAGAGAGGCCCGCACCTGCCCAGACCCGCCACACATTCCCTGGGCCTGAGCTCAGGGGCTGCAACCGCCCCGCCCCATCCCGCCCCGCGGGGACCCCGGCGCCCCCTGGTGGTCCCGTCGGGGTGTTAATTTTCAATTAAGATTTCAGAGTTTATGCCCAGGCTAGCCTCAGGACCTCAATCCACTTGCCTATGTCTCCTACGTAGCCGGAATGACAGACATGGAGTGCCATACCTGCTGTTGATTGAAATTGGGTGGGGGGGTCCTCATTAACTGGCCTCAGCCTCCTGATCTTTACCTCCGCTGTAGCTGGGATTACAGGGGTGAGCCACTATGTCCAGTTTGTTTTATTTTTTGGCGGTCCTGGGGCTTGAACTCTAGACCTGGGCCCTGTCCCTCAACTCTTCAGCTCAAGGCCAGCCCTCTACCGCTTGAGCCACAGGGCCACTTCCGGTTTTCTAGTGGTTTATTGGAGATAAGAGTCTCAGACTTTCCTGCCTGGGCTGGCTTTGAACCGTGATCCTCACATCTCAGCCTCCGGAGTAGGTAGGATTACAGATTTGAGCCACTGGCGTCTGGCTTACCACGACCAGTTTCCGGCTTACTACGCCCACTTTAAAGCCCTGAGTTTTAATTTCTACTTTCTTTGGTGGATTTTTTGAGACAGTCTCATTATTTACAACAGGACTGGCCTTGAATTCAATCTTCCTGCCAAGGGTTTCCAAGTGCTGGGATTACAGGCATGCACCACCTCACCTGGCCCATAGCCTCCACTTTCTGAGGCTTTACTTTTCAAAAAGAATTAAACTGGGCTGGGAAGGTGGCTCAGTGGTAGAGCACTTGCCTTGCATGCTCGAGGCCCTGGGTTTGATTCCTCAGCACCACATAAGCAAAAAGAAAAAAGCCGGAAGTGGCGCTGTGGCTCAGGTGGTAGAGTGCTAGCCTTGAGCTGAAGAGCTGAGGGACAGTGCCCAGGCCCAGAGTTCAGGCCCCACGACCGACCCAAAAAAAAAAAAAAAGAATTAAACCCCATGTATGTTCACAATATTTCTATGAAGTAAGCCGCTGGACCATTCTCATTTTACAGGTTAGGAAACTGAGGTACGCTGGTCAGATCTGCCAGGGGTACTGCCAAACATGACTCCCAAAAGTCTGGCTCATTCGCTACTTGCTCCCTTCTCTGAGCTTCCAGGGTGGTGGGAACTTGGGTTGGATACAAAGTGAAGAAAGGGCAGGAAAACAGACTAATACACCAACTAAATTAGAAAATTCTAGAATGTTCCAAAGATATAATCTTGGACCCACTACTTGTAGACTCTCAAGCTGAGGAGTCCCAGAGTCTCACGCCCTTACAATTTCAGGATGGGGGCTGATTGCAATACAAGTTGAAGAGCCTCCCTCCCCCAATAGCTAGTTTGCGTCCTTCTAATGTGGGGAAACTGAGGCCTCAGGAGTGGAGAGGACTCATCACCCAAGGTCACACACTCCCAATACACCCAAATGAGCCATCAGCCCCAACAGGTTCTGATCTTGTGGCCTCTAGACAAGAGGCCAGTATCAACACGTTCCACCCAGCCTGCTGCCCACGCTCCTACTGCCAAATCCGAGGTCGGTGTAGTCAGGAGGGTGACAGCACGAGCGGGCGTGGCGGCTGCCATGGGGACGTGGTTGGTGCTGGCTTGACTGGTTCCCCAGGAGAGGGAAGGCTCCCTCCTTCCTGCTAGGCTGGTGACCACAGCTGCTGATCCACCCCCTTGGCCCCAGCCGCCATATTGTTCCTTCAAACCATGTGTCCCTGTGAGCCAGGCCTCCAGCCTGGTAGAGACAATGAAGAATAAAACAAGTTAGGTCCCATCTAGGTGTGAAACTCAAGAGACTGAACTGGGGGTTTGGCAAGCCACGCCCCTTCCGGCTGGCTGAGCGAGCCCCGCCCCTTTTTGCTTTTACTTTCCAAATTCTCCCTACTTGATCTGAAGAGGCCTTGGCTCTGATCCTCCTTCCTTTTCTTCTTCTTCTTCTTCTTCTTCTTCTTCTTCTTCTTCTTCTTTTTCTTTTTCTTCTTCTTCTTCTTCTTCTTCTTCTTCTTCTTCCTCTTCCTCTTCTTCTCCTCCTCCTCCTCCTCCTCCTCCTCCTCCTTCTTCTTCTTCTTCTTCTTCCTCTTCCTCTTTCTCTTCTTCTTCTGTCGCCGAGGGGCTTGAACTCTGGGCCTGGGCCTCAGCTCTTCAGCTCAAGGCTAGCGCTCTACCACTTGAGCCACAGCGCTACTTCCAGCTTTTTCTGCTTATGTGGTGCTGAGGGGTTGAACCCAGGGCCTCATGCTTACAAGGCAAGCACTCTACTACTGAGTCACCTTCCCAGCCCCTTCCTTTGCTTCTTGAGTAGCTGGGCCCGCAGGCGTGTGCCACCATGCCAGGCACGAGTGAGAGCTTGGCACAGACGTTGCTGAGCTTTAACTTTTGTGCCTGTTAGAGAGGTTTTGACCATAACTGACTACAAAGCCCTTAATACGGTCCTAGAAGGTAATGTCCCAGCATGCCATAGTGGTTCTTGTTTTTGTTTTTAAAATTGCATTACTCCAAGTGAAATGCACAACTATTATGTTGGGTTTTTTTTTGGTCGGTCATGGGGCTTGAACTCTGGGCTTGGGTGCTGTCCCTGCACTCTTCAGCTCAAGGCGAGCGCTCTACCGCTTGAGCCACAGCGCCACTTCCAACTATTATGTTTTAAAATGCCCTCCAGCCTTTGACAGTATCCCTTGACCCCCTAGGAGGCATTCAGTGAAGGCTGAGATCTGAGGAAGGGGGTGAAGCTCTGTGGAGCCTTCTCAAAAGGGTTTGGGTCTTGTAGGTTATGTATGGACCAAAGTTTGAAGGACTTGCAATTTCCTTGAAGCAAAGCATTTCTAGAGGAAGGCAGGGGCAGTCTTGCTCCTCTCCCCCTTGCCGCGCATTTCCCACGGGTGGGGTCCAGAGTCTGAGATGATCCCCCCCACACACACCTCTCAGGCGCCCCTGCTCCAGCCTGGCACCATGGACAGCGAGGCGTTCCAGAGCGCGCGGGACCTTCTGGACCTGAACTTCCAGTGTGAGCTGGGGCAGGGGGCGGGGCCTGAGGGGCAGGGCCCTCCGGGAGGCGTGGTCCTGACCCTCACTCCTGCCTGCCCGACCAGCGCTGGCCATGAAACACATGGATCTAAAGCAGATGGAGCTGGACACGGCGGCGGCCAAGGTGGATGAACTGACCAAGCAGCTGGAGTCCCTGTGGTCAGACTCACCTGCACCTCCTGGCCCTCAGGCTGGAGTCTCCCCTAGGGTGAGCCTGATCCCCATCCTGACCCCAAGGCCTGCTTCTCATGACTCAGGCCATCTTAGGCAGATCTGTGTCCTGTTCTTGAGGGCAGATTTGTGGGCTGCTCAAAGAGGGAACCGGTGGAGGAGGACATTTAAGAAGAAAAGTCTCCCTTGCTTCTTTTTTGTTTCTTTTGATAGTACTGGGTTTGAACTTAGGACCTTAAAGTGCTCTACCACTTGAGACATGCCCCCCCAGAGCTTTATTGTTTTATTTTTCTGAGCTTTTGCTCTGGGGCAACCTCAGAATGTCATCCTTTTTCCTGTCCCCTCCTTCCAGAATAGCTGGAATTACAGCAATGAGTTTTGTCATTGTTGTTTTGTGCCAGCACTGGGGCTGGAATTCAGGGCCTTGCCCTCTTGCTTGGGTTTTTTCCACTCAAGGCTAGTGCTCAACGACTTGAGTCTCACCTCTCCTTCCAACTTTTTGCTGCTAATTGGAGATAAGAGTCTCACAGACTTTTTCAACATAGGCTGGCTTCAAACAGCAGTCCTCAGATTGCATCCTCCTGAGTAGCTAGGATTACAGGCCATGAGCGATGGGCTTTCTTGTTTTGTTTTGAGATAGGGTCTCCATAACATCTTTTTTTGTTTGTTTTTAATCCTGCTAGCTTCCAGCTGTGGCCCTCCTATCTCTACCTCCCCAGGGGCCTTTTCCTTAGTCACCCAAAGGAGACCGTGGTGACAGGCTAGCATCAACATCCTTTCACTGGGCTCACTGCCTCCCTTCTTACCCTGAACCAACACCTCTGGATTGACCTTCAATAACTGCTTATGATTTCCTTCACTAATGTCCCCTTTGACCCCAACCTCCCTGCCTCCCCGCAGATGCCCCGATACAGCTCCAGCCCAGTCTCCGAGCCTTTCGGCAGCCGAGGGTCCCCCCGGAAGACAGCCACCGACAATGCAGATGCCCCATTTGGGCGCTCCGAGAGTGCCCCGTCCCTACATCCCTACAGCCCGCTGTCCCCCAAAACCCGTCCATCATCGCCGCGCACCCCGCTGTACCTGCAGCCGGACGCCTACGGCAGCCTGGACCGCGCGCCCTCGCCGCGATCCCGCGCCTTCGAGGGAGCGGGCAGCCCGCTTGGCCGTGCGCCCTCCCCGCGGCCTGGGTCAGGCCCCCTCCGCCAGCAAGGTCCCCCCACTCCCTTCGACTTCCTGGGCCGCGCGGGCTCTCCGCGCGGCAGCCCTCTGGCCGAGGGTCCCCAGGCTTTCTTTCCGGAGCGGGGGCCTTCCCCACGCCCCCCGGCCTCCGCCTACGACGTGCCCGCCTTTGGGAGCGCCCTGCTGGGCGCGGGCGGCAGCGCCTTCGCCCCGCCCCTGCGCGCGCAAGGTGAGCTGCGCCCTGCACTTGGGCGGCGGGGTACGGGGGCGATCTGGGGGGGTCGGGGCCAGTATCTTCACGCGCAAAATGCCCCCAGATGACCTGACCTTGCGCCGGCGCACCCCAAAAGCCTGGAATGAGTCCGATCTGGACGTGGCTTACGAGAAGAAATCTTCGCAAACAGCCAGCTATGAACGTGAGTGCTAAGAGTGGGGGACCTGGAGGGGAGACCCCTGCACCTCTCATCACTCCACCCCGTCCTAATGATTCCTCCCACCCCCTACCCCGCAGGCCTGGACGTCTTCTCGCGGCCCTCCTCACCTGGCCTGCAGCTGTTGCCCTGGAGAGAGAGCAGCCTGGACGGGTTGGGGGCGGCTGGCAAGGTCAGGGGCGGGGCTTGACTGGGGCGGGGCCGTGCCAGCGAGGTGGGCGGGGTTCTGCCAGCGGATTGGGCCAGGCACTGGGGGCGTGGTCACGCCAGTGAAGAGGGCGTGGTTGGGCGGGGCGGGGCTCTTAGAAGTCCTCCGCGCGCTTTCTCTTGGATTTCCGCCCCTCTGTCTTCTTCCTCGCGTTTCCCTCACCTCTTCTCCCGCTTCTCACTTTTGCCTCTCCCTCTGTCCCACCTGAGCCTCTTCTACCTTCCCTCCTTTTTTTCTCTTCCCTAGGACAACCTTACTAGCGCCACCCTGCCCCGCAATTACAAAGTCTCCCCTCTGGCCAGCGACCGGCGCTCCGATGTAGGCAGCTACCGCCGCTCCCTGGGCTCTGCAGGGCCCTCGGGGACCCTGCCCCGCAGCTGGCAGCCCGTCAGCCGCATCCCCATGCCCCCCGCCGCCCCCCAGCCTCGCAACGCCCCACGCCAGCGCCCCATCCCCCTCAGCATGATATTCAAGCTACAAAATGCCTTCTGGGAGCACGGGGCCAGTAGGAATGTGTTCCCTGGATCCCCTGTCTTCCCCCGAGCACCTCCTCCGAAGCTGCCTACCCAGCCCCAGCCGCCGCCACAGCCCCAAGTCCATCCCCAACCGCAGCCCCAGGTGCCACCCCAGCCTCAGCCCCCCGCCCAGCCCCCAACTACAACCCCCCAGCTTCCCCAACAGACCTGGACCCCAGGGAATGAAGGTAAGTTGGCAAAGGGGGCACCAGAGGGCTGGATGGAGGGTGGCAGGGCAGAGTGGCTGGGGTAGCCATCACAGCCAGCCTCCTGCAGAGAGTGAGGCCAGATGAGGTTGGACAGGGGTAGACAATAGTTAAACAGGGACTCTGCAGCTAGACTGACTGGTTCCATCCCGTGTGACCTCAGGCAGGTCACTTAGCCTCTCTGAGCCTCCATATTCTTGAGTGTAAAAGGTAAATGGTGATAGAAACTATCATATTGGAGTATGATACTAAAACTATATCAAGCCCTGAAAGTAGAGCCTAATGCCTAGGAAGCTCTCAATGGTTATATTAATTAGAATAGTTAATAAATTGTAGTGTGAAACCATTGGAGGCTTGAGTCTCTAACCATGGGCTTGCTGTGTGACTCAGGATAAATTACCTAACCTAGCTGAGCCTCTGCACCCATTTGTATGGGACAGTCATGATCATTGCCTTGAAGGATTATGACATGGATTATGAGAACCTGGGCCAAGAGTGATGAGGAGGAGGAGGAAGATGAGGATGATGAGGATGATGATTACTTGCGCCTGTTTTAGAAACACTTCTGGGGAGAGGCGGGGAGATAAACCAGGCATGGTGATACATGCCTATACTCCTGGCATTCAGGAAGTGGAAACAGAAAGATCACAAATTCAAGGCCATCTTGGGCTACATAATAAGATGCCTATCTCAAAAATGAATAAGGAGAGAGGGAAAAAAAAACAGCATGTAAAGCACCAAGTACATCCTAAGTGCTCAGTACATGGTTGTTATCCTAACTGTATATTATTCACAGCCAAGGGAAAGTGATGTCTAGAGAGGGCAAGGAACGCCCCTGAGGTCACACAGCAGCAATACTGGTTGTAGGCCCTGAAAGTTTCACAGAGTCCTGGGGGACTTCTGGAGGGTTCATCTTCTGATGGTGCTCTTGCTCCTGCTAGGCCTCCTCAAGCCCCCCACGGAGCTCGAGCCGGAGCCGGAGCTTGAGGGTCTGCTGCCACCCGTGCTGGAGGCTGGAGATGGAGAGGAAGGCACTGTGACTCGGCCCCTGAGCCCCACAAGGCTGCAGCCAGCACTACCACCCGAGGCCCAGTCGGTGCCTGAGCTGGAGGAGGTGGCACGTGTCCTGGCTGAGATTCCTCGGCCGCTCAAGCGCAGGGGCTCCATGGAGCAGAGCCCCGCTGTGGCCCTGCCCCCCACCCACAAGAAGCAGTATCAGCAGATCATCAACCGTCTCTTCCACCGGCATGGTGGGCCAGGACCTGGGGGCCCAGAGCCAGAGCTGACCCCCATCACAGAGGGATCTGAAGGCAGGGCAGGGCCCCCTGCTCCTGCTCCACCAGCTCCCATCCCACCCCCAGCCCCACCCCAGAGCAGCCCACCAGAGCAGCCACCAAGCATGGTACGTAATAGGAATAAAGACGTGTTCTAACATCTAGCTATAGCAAAGAAACCTCCAGTGTACAACTAATTACACTCCCTGAACTGTTTTTCTTTGAGTAACAGCCAGAGGTGCTGAAAGACAGCCTAAGGACAGCCCAAAGCAGTCCTTGTGGTCTAATATGCCCCCTCCCCAGGCAGGAAAATATGCTGGGCACTGGTGGCTCATGCCTGTAATCCTAGCTACTCAGAAGGCTGAGATCTGAGGATTGTGGTTGGAAGCCAGCCCAGGCAGGAAAGTCCATGAGACCCTGTGATTCAAGTGGTAGAGTGCTAGCCTTGAGTGGAAAGAGCTAAGGGACAAAGGCCATAGGGTCTGAGTTCCAACCCCAGTACTAGCACAGAGAGTGATGCGATTCCTTCTTTTTGGGGAGTGGGGGGGGGTTAATTCTGGGACTTCTATTTGCTAGGCAAGTGCTCTACCACCTGGGCCACATGCCTGGCCTGCCAATTCCCTTTCAAGCATGAGCTTGCAGTACTGGTAGACCCTCGTAGTGGCTGGAGTCAGTCTCCCAACTTGCCCCCCCCCACCCCGCAGGAGATGCGCTCCGTGCTGCGGAAGGTGGGGTCCCCACGCAAGGCCCGGCGTGCTCGCCTCAACCCACTGGTGCTGCTGCTGGACGCAGCGCTGACCGGGGAGCTGGACGTGGTGCAGCAGGCAGTGAAGGAGGTGAGGGGGCCTTTGGAGGGGAGGGGAAGTGACAGGCGCAGGGCTGAGGCTTTGGCCGGGAGGGGAGATGACAGGTGGAGGACTGAGGCTCCTTTCCGGTCCTCCCAGATGAACGATCCCAGCCAGCCCAACGAGGAGGGCATCACCGCCCTGCACAATGCCATCTGCGGCGCCAACTACCCCATTGTGGACTTCCTCATCGCCGCAGGTGCCAACGTCAACTCCCCGGATAGCCATGGCTGGTGAGTGCACGGCACTGCGCATGCACCAGGGGTGGGCGGGGCCGGTGCAGGTGGGTGGGGCTGGGCTGGGTAGGCGGGGCCAGTGCAGGTGGGTGGGGCTGGGCTGGGTAGGCGGGGCCAGTGCAGGTGGGTGGGGCTGGGCGGGGGCTGGGGAGGGTGGGCGGGGCTGGGGAGGGTGGGCGGGGCCTGGTGCAGGCGGGCGGGGCTGGGGAAGGTGGGCGGGGCCGAGGTCTCAGGAGTTCCTCCTTCTCCCCGCTGCTGCCCAGGACCCCCTTGCACTGTGCGGCCTCCTGCAACGACACGGCCATCTGCACTGCGCTGGTGCAGCATGGCGCCGCCATCTTCGCCACCACGCTCAGTGACGGTGCCACCGCCATCGAGAAGTGCGACCCCTACCGCGAGGGCTATGCCGACTGCGCCACCTACCTGGCAGGTGGGGCTCCCACCTGGCGGGTGGAAACGGGTGGGGGCGGGACTGGACACCTGTAGATGGACACGTGTGAGGGAGATGGTGCCGCTGGACCCTCTCTCACCTGCCGGGTGGGAAGTCGTAGATTCCAAATGGACCATCAACCTGGTAGTACCGGGCTGGGCAGGTGGGAATGTCAGTATTGCACACAACTGGCAAGTGAGCAGGCTACGCTGCTGGGGAAGGGGCTTGGGCAGTGGCTTGCAGAGAGAGACCTGAGTTGTGCCTCATCTCTTCAGAGGCCAGCTGTATCAGCGGGGATCCAGATGGGAGGGACAACATAGATTACACCTAGAGAACTGTGCATAGAGCCTCTTCTTGCATGTGCACTGTAGATGATGATGATGATGATGATGACTGTTGGTCATGGGGCTTGAATTTAGGGCCTGGGTGCTGTCCCTGAGCTCTTCTGCTCAAGGCTAGCCCTTAACCACTTTGAACCACAGCTCTACTTCTGGTTTTCTCTTGGTTAATTGGAGATCTAAATCTCATAGGATGGGCTGGGAAGGTGGCTCAGTGGTAGAACGCTTGCTTTGCATTCATGAGGCCCTGGGTTCGATTCCTCAGCACCACCTAAGCAGAAAAAGCTGGAAGTGGCTCTGTGGCTCAAGTGGTAGAGTGCTAGCCTTGAGCTGAAGAGCTGAGGGACAGCGCCCAGGCCTAGAGTCCAAGCCCCACTACCGACAAAACAAAACAAAACAAAAATCTCATAGGACTTTCCTTCTCGGGCTATCTTTGAACTGCGATCCTCAGATCTCAGCCTCCTGAACTGCAGTCCTCAGATCTCAGCCTCCTGAGTAGCTAGGATGATGGGTTTGAGCCATAATCTGTAGAAATTTAACGGGGTAAAAGTGGGGGAGCATTGACAAAAGCAAGGGCTCCTCCCCTTGCTGCGCTGACATGGTCCCTGGTCCCATCCCCTGAGTGGACCTGGCCCAGTTTCTGTTCCCGGACCTCCAGCCAGGCTCTCACATCCCCACCATGTATTTTCAGACGTGGAGCAGAACATGGGGTTGATGCACAACGGGGCTGTGTACGCCCTCTGGGACTACAGCGCCGAGTTCGGGGACGAGCTGTCCTTCCGAGAGGGCGAGTCAGTCACCGTGCTGCGGCGGGACGGGCCCGAGGAGACCGACTGGTGGTGGGCAGCGCTGCACGGCCAGGAGGGCTACGTGCCCAGGAACTACTTCGGGGTGAGCTTGGGAGGAGATCGTGGCGGGGAGGAGGCTCCTGACAGCAGCTGGCTGCAGATGCCATCCAGAAACGAGGGAGGGCAGGCTGGGCATGCAGGTAGTAAAGACATCGCCTGGCGTGTCCGACATCCTGAATTCCTCCTGCAAAAGAAAAAAAAAAAGAGGGGCCGGGAGGGCAGCTCATTATTGAGTGAAAGAGGTCACAGGAGTCTGTCAT